CAGAGGATTTAAAAGAAGGTGCACTTTRTGATGATGATAAAAGTAAATGGGCTTACATCATACATGTGTGAATATATTTAGACTTTTTGGGTTTAAGTACTGTTCTAGGTCTGGTGCCAGGCGTTAAAGCAGCAGGTGCCTCAGTGTTATTACCATGTGTTTGATCATACGCCTGGGCTCAGGTGGAGGATTGCAGGAACTCCTCTGTAATAGAAGCTGGATAAATCCACGAGCAGCAGAGAACAATGAAGWCACTCAAAAATTCATCAGGACACAAAGTGATGCTGAAGAGGAAACACTGGCGTTTGAGTGTCACCTTCAGTTTTTAGGTTTTTTTAAAGTGAAAAGATGCAAATAGTATTTAACAAAAGAAACGTGTTGGATGCCCCAGGATGCCACCCACTAGGGAGGTTGTCTGGACATGTCAAACTGGGAAGAGACCCCAGGGAAGACCCAGGACTTGCTGGAGAGACAATGGCTGAAGTTGCAGCCCATGTGGCCCAATCCATCACATGTGAGTTCTACAGGTTTTTGGTGAAAATTAAAGATTTTGAGGGTAATGATACAGATAAATGTCAGAAGGGGATTGATGTGCTATCAAAACAAAATGAGGAAACGTTACMGTTTCATTCATTTCTACATATTGGAGCCTTTGCTGAAGGACAGGACAAGTTTCAATGACATCACACTAACCAGAGCAATTCAGTTTTACATTCATGAACATGTTGAATAGTCATACACATRCACACATACAAATTCCACTAAGTTACCCAGCATCACTTGCAGCTACACACACACAACACGGTTTTTCATCTTCTACTTGATGTTAACATAMCACAACCAGCTGTTGTTAAGCTTTAGCCAGAAACAGTTCATTCAAAACAGGGAWGTCTACATCAGAAGCACTGCTGATTATTTGAAAAAGATTAAAGCTAATGATACTTTCCCTAAGTGATAATATAGTAAGTGTTTGTTTGGAGTAAATMTTTAATTAGAGACACATGGGCCTGGTGGGTTAAAAAAGCCAGGGAAATCTTTATAATTCATGTTTGTATGGCAAGAAAAACTTATATAAAATTTAAGTCACATATCAACTGCAGCTGAAAACAACAGGCCAGATGTTTTCTAAAACAAGTCTAAACCCCTTCTTTTATACAAAGAAACAAGCAGTCATCTAAAAGCAAGTTAAACACTTAAACATACAGTACACATTACTGTTAACTTACACACACGTTCAGCCTTTTTAAATATATACTGCAGACACTTTGGATTTCCACAAATAACAAAAAAAAGGAGTGGTGAAAATGGATAACGAGCCCGAAAGAAACCAAATCCTGTTTCAAGTCTTTTAGTTTACCTTTTAGTTCGTCGGAACATGTTGTCGACTGAACGTCTACTGAGGGGTGCAGCTCTAAGAAACAGAAGCAGCTCGGAGTCGAAGGACAGCTATCACAAAGCATCAGGTCTCCGGCAAAATTTCACTGCAAAGTAACACATCCTGTGGGTCCCACAACCTCCAGCGGCTGCATGTCTGAACAAGCGTGTCGGAAAAACCAAAGGCCAGAGAGACAAACAGAGAGAGACAAACAGAGAGAGAGAGAGAGAGAGAGAGAGAGAGAGAGAGAGAGAGAGAGAGAGAGAGAGAGAGAGAGAGA